TTAATTGTAATGAAAACATAGTGAATTAAAAAAAATATAATAGCAAAGTTCAGGCATCACCATGTTTCTAGACAAGAAAGCTCCTTGTAAATACAGACGAAAAAGAGCAAAGGTCAGGCATGAAAACAATGCCACGTCTCTCTGACTCAGTAATCACCTCTGTAAGAAATAATGGAAGCAGCACACGGGTTTGAGAAAACAGCTCGGTTTCTTAAAGAAAAACAACCTCTCACCCCTAAAAAGCTTTTAGAAATTCCAACTCATAAGAACATCGACTTTGTTTGTGTGTTGCAGCTATAAACCTTGCACAGCTGGAACGGAACTTGTACCAGCACCACTCCTCTTTCCCAGGCAGCCTCTCACCACATCCTGGCACAAGCGCGATCCTGCCACGGTAACGGTGCCTGTACCAGGGGAACCTGCCACATCGTAAATCAGACCCCGCTCCAACCTAGACACACCGATGCCACAAAAGGCTTGTGCTGCAACCCCAGCCGACTTGACAGCCCACATTACAGGGCGAGCTGTAGTCACTGACTAGCTGGGGATTTTGTAAAGGGAACGTGGGTGGGCTCGACCCACCATGTCTTTCTAGAAATCCTCACATTGTAACGCTGTCAATCTTCAAGACAACAAATCTCCTTGCTCCATCCCAGGATTATGTTTTCATTTGATCTAAACATACCTCTAAGAAGTTCTTTGTTTCATTTATATCATGACGATAGAGTCAGTTTTCTTCCCTGATTTAAAAAAAAGCCCAATTTTCACATACGCAAACAAAGGTTCATTACTATTCCTCCATCCTGCTTTGGAATACATAAAATTCTAGCATGCACCTTATATAACTTGGCAGGGGTTTGGTTAATTTATCTATTTCATATGTTTTTTAGAAGTGCTTTTCACTTATTAGCAACATTCATAGACTGCAAGGAATTGCACGATACATACTCCAAAAGCGCCTTTAAACCGTGGTATTCAAATGACAGGAGATACAGGTAAGAGACAGGGCAATGGTGCAAGGGAAGCAAGCCATAAGGATCACAATGCCATGTGTATTTCTCAAAGCAAACTAGGATAGACAAGAAAGGCAAAGAAAAAAGGGAAAGCAGAGTGGCATAAAAACGAATAGATAATCTACGAGCTACAGGTGGGAGAAACATCTACAAGGTCCTCGCACAGCCTCCTCAGCCTGATGAAGCCACCACGTGTTGCCCTATGGCTGTTGCCCTATGGCCGAGGCCAGGGCAGGCTTAGGGCAGGCACGTTGGCAGGGACGGCCGCCGTGTCAGAAGCCCTCTGTGTCACGCAGGCTTTGATTCAGCAAAGCAGTTAGTCACAGCTTCAAACACACTGATCGATTCCGCCAAGCCAATGAAACCAAACTGCAGGCTTTTTAACGTCTTTTGCTGAAAGTAATATGAATATTAAGAGAGGGGACAGGAAATCAATAGAATAGAACACAGCAATGTAAAAAGAAGATAAAGCTGCTAAGTTTGATGGAAGAAGACATGCATTTAAGCAGACAGAGAAAATGCAGACAGAACATTGTTACTGCGCTGAAGTTAATGGTGACATAACACGGGGCAGTAATAGCACTGCAAGTTTCAGCAATATAAGGAAGGAAAAATGACTTTTAGCCTGAAGCCTACCCTACTGAAAGAGTTTTGCCACCTACATGAACAAATGTATTTGTAAGAGACCAGACAAAAGAAAAGCTAAAAAGGAAGTAAAAAATGTGACTAGAACTTCATTTGCTTCCACATGATAACTAACCACTGTTTGAATATCAATAGATTTTTGCATTAAGAGAAATCTACGTCCTTTTCAGCTGGAGAATAATAAACATCCAAATGAAGAAAACCCAAAAGCTGAGATGAAATGAAGCTGTCGTACAATCTTAGAAATAACTTCATGCTTTTTCATTTTGACTGTCTTCATTCATAACAAAATTATTTTCCTTGCAAGTTTAACCAAACATATCACATCTACAAGTGAGTTAATCTTATTAAAGATGCAATACCAGCTGTCAGCTCTTGCACAATGTATGCTGGGATTAAGCACAATATATGCTTGATTCCTGAACAATGGAAAACTGCTCCAGCATGAAGTCTACTTTTACCTGTGAAAATGTCTGTAAAATTACAGAACCTAGAGATGCTATAGCAAAGAGAAAAACCCTAGAACATAGGAGGGTTTTTTGTGTCTGACAAGATCAACTACTAGCATCCACCTGGCCCAGAGAAATCAGCGTCAATGATCCTTCAGTACAGTTTTTAACTTTTTGCTTACGGTCAAATCAACCAACAAAAATCCTTAATGTATGAAGACATATTATAGAATTGCTTACTTAAATCAGTTTCCGAAGTCTTCAGGAGATACTTAAATCTTACCTTCTGTGATACCAATACGGTCAAAACAAACGTATTTCAAGTCCTTCTGTGATTTCTCAAGTAATAATAAAGAAATTCTATGGTCAGATTACAATTTTTAGAAAGCTGACTTTCTAGGCAGCTACCTATTATACTTAACAGGCTTAACACAAAATGAGTCAAAGATCAAGAGTAAGTTATCTGAGGTGTCAAGTGCACAAGGTTAAAGGTGAAATTTTATTAGGTCAAAGGTGATATAAATAAAATCTTTTATGTCAAAGAAGAAGGGTCACAGACAAAATGTATATAATCTATAGACATCACAGATGACAAGTAATAACTTTAAGTAGCACAAGTGTGTTCTCGCTACAGACACCTTCACTGACTAAAAAATTGAACACAGTGACAAATAAGTAACAATAAATATTATGTTTCCCTGGAATACAGGTTTACTTCTGCATAATACTTTGGAAATTTTTTCTCAAGTATTTCAAAACTTAACTAAAGTTACTAAATGCTTAATTGTGGGGGACACAAAGTTTGGCATTAACTATGTATGCTGAATAAAGAGGTACACAAAGCAGATCGCTCTGATAAATAGAATCACTTTTCTACTTTACAGTGACCATACCTCTAGCACATACACCTTATTACTGTTCTTTGAAAAACAAAAAACAGAGAGGGCCTCAGGTCAAGGAAATTCCAGATTGCAATAGTACATACAGCTCAGAATTGTATACTCAGACTAAATAAAATATAGCTATAAATCATATATTAATTGAAGTATCCATATGTTGCCAGCATGCCAAATACTATGCACCATCTTGATTAAGGATATTTAAATCTGCTATTGTAATCATTCAGTTAAAACTGTTTTCTCCAATCACTCCTGCACCAAGTACGCATTCAAGAAGTCCCATACATTTAACCTTAATCTTGAACACATGGAAACGTTTTGCTGAAAAGCACTGGATTTAAGCATATGATGCTGGACACCACAAAAATCAAGATATCTGTGCCCTCTAGTGGAACTTCTTTTTCCCCAGCTGGGCACAAATACAGTTGTTACAACATGATCTCTTTTTCTGGAAGCTGGAATGGTTAATCTATCAAATTAGATGTTGCGAATAGCGTGTAACAGTCAAAAGAAAATCTAGTTCACTGTTTTCCGACATACTCATCTGAGGCAGATGCTCAGCAAGAATCAGAGCTCAATTCTCAGTGGATATAAGCAAAGGTGAGATACAAGAAAACTCAACACTACGGACTCCCAAACTTTGGTGCACGTACCAACATGAAAGATTCTGTGAAATCTCACAGCTTATATTTCTAGTAAAATGAACGCAGTACGAAGCCTTCTCCCGTATATCCAGTCAGGTAAACCTGGCATCTAAAACCAAACCCAAAACCACACAACTCCCACTAACCACTGTAAAAGAGGAAAAAAGAAACTGCAAAGACAGTTTATGTACTTTCGTTACAGTTAGGAAGAGGTAGGCAAACTGCAGAATTTATTCCTCCAGGCTACTGTATCTCTCCAATTTTCTTTTCCTGTTTTTCCAGCAATAACCTCCTCAGTGGTCAGTACCTCAGAGACTTAACTCTGCAAAGTTTTTTAAACAGTAAAAGAAAAGGTGTTACTACTGGATGTAAGAAGCTGTAAACAAAGAGAAGATTTCAACAAATAAAGATAGTAATAAGAACTGTGAAGGAAAGAAGGAGACAGCCAAAAACTAGAAATACTGAGCAGTATCATGTGAATCAGCTTGGCTGGAAAGAGATTTCCGAACACAGTGAAGCTAAACCTGAATCATGTCTGGACAACTGGCTTGTACAGTATTTCTTCCGAACATCTGACAGGTGCAACACACGGGCACTCACAAGTCTTTTGCATAAGACAGAATATAAAGTCTGACTGTTATAATTAGTCTTACAGAAAAGGCCTTGATTTAATCCTGTAGTTCAATTCAGGCAGCAGCAACGAGAAATTGAATCAGACAACCATTTGGAAGTCTTGTCTTTATAACAGCATAGTTTCTTGATTTAGTATAAAATGCCCCCAGTGCTTCCTCAAAATCACCCTAAGTGTGAATTTTTTTAAAGAAGCTACTGAAAAAATAATTATTGTTCTGTCTAGCAACGCTAATACTTGCAAAGCATTTCCAATCTTGCATTTTAAAGGAATTTAGCATTACGATTTTCAACATTATTGACCTTGATGCACAGAATAGCTGATAAGCTAAGAAAGAATGAAGGTATTTTAAAAACAGGGAGGAACAAACAAAAAAAAAAGTAAAGCAAAATGTGGACACCTGTAACACATGAGATTTTCATAATGAAAAGATAAATTATAGTGAGATGAAAAACACCTTTGGATTGATAGCAAAGCAACCAGTCACGCTTTACACACAATCTATTTCAAATGGTGATTGCCTGAAGTATTTGAACCCACTGCTTCCTTCGTTCCTTCTCACTGGTATTCTATATTCAAAAAGGCACTCTTATTCCCAAGTTAACGCAAACGTTCTTGTTCCATTCCTTTATAAGAATTTTCAAGACTTTCTTAGGCTTCTCGGCTGGATGGCATTTAAAGCTAGAAGTAATACAGAAAAAAAACATTACAAAACTTACCACTTCTTCATCTGAAAGCTCTCGTCCTTGTATACTACTGTTTTCTCTCACAGCTTGTTGGTGTTTTTTCCCCTTAATGTGGCTAAAAAGGTACACTTCTGATGAAATCTGTAATGACAATGACTTAACGGTAATTTTTTTCCTTGATAATTGTGTATTCTATAAATAACTATTTTAAAACTAAAATAATACATGCAATTTGTCAGGAGCATGTTCAGAATTTAAAGCGCAGTACTTTATTCCTCAATATAATTTACATAAGTATATTCCATGCAGGACTTAAGAGTAAATTACATAATGATTTGCTAGCCAGCAGTATAATAAAGAGATTTTAAAAAATCTTGGCTTCTCATCTCATTTTGACTTCAATCTAACTTCATATATTGGGCTTTCATTCTGAAATGCACCACCTGATACACAGATGGAAGAATCCAAAATAAGGTGCACTCTACAAGAGCAGAGCAGGCACAGTGTAGATGTGAACGAAGTATAATTTGCAGCTTCAAGGCTTAGGTTGGTGTTGGAATTCTGACAGTATTCCGTCTATCCAACGTACCGTTACGTTGCACAACGAGCACTGTTTCTTGCGTTCGTATGGTGTAAGTTTTGGTGCATAATCAGTATTAGCATGTCGTCCACTACTTAATTCAGCTGCTTTCTCTTTTCTTTGTTCAATTTGTTCCATGTGCCTTCTAATACTTTCATCATGCTGAATGGAAAATAATCAAAGCAACAAAGGAAAAACACACTGAATTGCAGGTAATGGAATTAAACTCTGCAAAGTAGTCCTGGGAATTATCAAACATTGTATAGTTAGGATGAACTTCTGTTACATTGAAACCATTTTTTTTATTTCTGAAAGGCATTAAAAGTCAACACACTTCACAGACATTTTAACATTATGCTATGATTTAAAAATCAACAATCAGCACTATTTTTGTTTTATAGGTGATTATCAATTACTAATTCTTCTATAAATCTTCCTGTTACATTTAACATCTCAGTTCTAGCTTTGTTCTTATTGAAGCACTCTAGTACAGAACACAAGTTCAACTTTCAATTCTACAAATATGTAACTTATGTAGGGCTGTTTTCACTGACACATATGAAATCATAAAGTAAAAATTAAAGTAAAATAAATTACTTGTTATTTATCTGCACTAGCAGGGATAGTTCACTGGATTCTTTCTGAGAATCTTCAGAAAACTTTTCAGAGGTTTTCATACCTAACCCCCATGAGAATGGAACAAATTCTCAACTATTATTTAAAATCAAAGGCTGGGGTATGAACCTCTATTTAATAACAAAACTGCGTTTTACAGTGCAAGTAAATGTAGCTATGGTGCTTCACACTGGGATCAGAGCAAAGAATAACACTGAAATGAAAATTTATTTGTACATATACATAAACCATCCTAGAATAAAAATTTACATAATTTATCATTAATTGAAACCTTAATACATAGGTCCACCTCAGAATCTTAAAAATATATTTTGTCATTTTAAAAGTCTTTACATCTCTTGAAAAGTAATGGAGATATCTTCAAAACTTCTGGTACCTTGGTTCTCCACTGGACAGTCAAATCAGCTGAACAGGTGAACAACAAGGGGCTCAAGCCTTATGACAGTTTTATGAAACAACTAAAGCCCTTCATGAAACAAAAGGAAAGAGCATGCCATGCTCAATTTCAATACCTTTTGATAGCACCCTGTGTGATTGTTTGGTGAAATGTCTTCACTAAACAGTGTGAGGGTTTTTACATCTTGATTTTCCTCATGATTTAATTACAAATTACTTTGACTTCTCTTGGAAATTTCAGGTTTACTTGTTCTCATGTTCAAAGTTCTGAAATGAATGAATTCCGTAGAGCTCAGTCCTGTTCTTTCCCAACTACACGCTGTATGTTATAGAGCAAGGTCCTCTCCTTAATGCAAAAGTCTAAATAAAAGTCTCTTGTACAGTTACGTATCTCAGGACACTGTACAGTGCACTGTAACATCTTCACCAAATAAAACACACATAGAGAAAATAATTCTGCACGAATTCTACACTGTTGATGTATTTTTCTTTTTATACCTTCAGTTGTATCTTCTTCTGTAGTTCTTCCATGGCTTCTTGCTGAGCTGCAGTAAGAGCTGCCAACCTCTCTTCTCGATCTCTAACCAAAAGATAACAAGTATAGGGAAAGCTTGGAACAATGTAAAGCATGCATAATACTGACTAATTTATGTTCGAAATGGAGAACAAGCATCCTAAGAAATGAAACGAAGATGGCTCAGGTAGAAAAGACAACTAAAAGCAACTTAGTTAACAGGACAGGCTGGAACTTCAGTATGAACTCGAGTCGAAAGGACTGTGACCTGTGGATGAGTCCATGCAGGAGGAGGACACCCAAAAGCGTCTGTGGCTGTGGACAGGCCCATACCAGGTGTATCTGAAAGCGTCCGTGGCCAATGGATAAGTCCGTGCTGCAGCAGGTACCCCTCTGAAGGGATTGTGGCCCAAGGATAAGTCCATGCTGGAGAAGGTACACCCTGAAGCGTGAGTGGCTGTGCATAAAGTCATGCTGGACCACCTCAAAGCATGTGGCCATGGATAAGCCCACAACATAGCAGGAAGCCCTTGTTGCTAGCCAGGCTAGGAGCGAAGGGAGGAGTTCACTGCAATGTTAAACCTTATAACCTGGTCCAAAGAGACCAGGGGTGGAGACTGTAATGGAAATACCTTTAAATTGTTGTAACCTATGATTTGAGTTGCATGTTATAGGAATTAGCTATAGCAGGAACCACCTGAATCAATGGAAACAAGCTTTAGAAGAAGCACTGCAAGTGCAGCAGTGACCCGACCTGTGCTGGCTTTGGTGCCCCGTAACTCCATCCAACACACCACCTCACCCACCATGACAGAGCCCAAAGTCATGGACTAAATGAACTCAATGGACATTACAGACATTTTACGGACATTTCATAGAGGTGGTCCATAGACTAAGAGAATGATATCTGTGTCATATATCAAAGGATGGGAAGTGGGGGGGCTGGTTAACAAGGATGTTTTGGATAGTGTGGTACCAGGGCATGACATAAATGGTATAGAATAAGGGGAGGAGAATGTGCTGGTTTGGGCTGAGATACAGTTAATTTTTTCATAGTAGTTAGTATGGGGCTATGTTTGGATTTGCGCTGAAAACAGTGTCGATAAGACAGGGATGTTGTAGTTATTGCTGAGCAGTGCTTACTCTGTAAGCTGACTCTTACTCAAAGCCTTTTCTGCTTCTCACACCACCTCACCAGTGAGTAGGCTGGGAGTACAAAAGAAGTCTGGAGGGGACACAGCCAGGACAGCTGACCCCAACTAAGCAAAGGGATATTCCATACCATATGACGTCATGCTCAGCATATGAAGCTGGGGGAAGAAGAAGGAAGGAGGGGAAATTTGAAGTGATGGTGTTTTGTCTTCCCATTACGCACGAGAGTCCTGCTTTTCTAGAGATGGCTGAACACCTGCCTGCCGATGGGAAGCGGTGAATGAATTCCTTATTTTGCTCTGCTTGCGTGCATGGCTTTTGCTTTACCTATTGAAAATTCTTTATCTCAACCCATGAGTTTTCTCACTTTCACTCTTTTGATTCTGTCCCCTATCTCACCATGAGGGAAGGGAGTGAGTAGTTGTGTGGTGCTTCGTTGCCAGCTGGGGTTAAACCACGACAGGCCAAAAGGAGTAACGAAAGCTTTCAGTAAAACTGAGCAATGAAGCAGTCATTCAAAGCCATTAGCCATCTTTTTAGAAGGCATCCTTTCTAGTTTCAACCATGAATGCTTCAAACCATGACAGTGACAAAACTAGAAAGGATAACACACAGAATATTATCCAAACTGCAGTGGTTTTTGTGTTGTGTGGATTTCTGTTTGTTTGCCTTTTTTCAAACAGAAAATTCATAGAAAAAAAAAGGCATTTCAGTAAAAGTAGACGGCTCAGATAAAGTAACATTTTGAAACGAAAAGTCACAGAAAATATAAAAGCAGATAGGAAGGAAGACGGGAGGAACCAAGCCTAACGATAAACACTACACACAATTGTTCTTTCAGAAAGTCTAAGTGAACTCTTCCAACCACCATGGGTGTGGAGGGGGGGTGAGGAAGAGATGATGGATGAGGAGCACTGGGTAGTTTATGTGCTATCTCCCCTGAGGTATATAAAGAAAGACTGAACTACAGTCTTTGTTTTTGTTTTAAAGAGCTCCTGACCTACACCATGAGCTGAAACAAATCATAACTAAGACATGACCCAAACACAAAGCTTATTTTAGCTATTTCTTTCAGTATGCGTTTTTATAAGTATTTGTTTAATCCTACAAACTACGACAAATTAGTATAATCACATACTTTGGATTAATCACATTTGAAACAAAATTCTAAAGTTTCAACTTCTAGAGCATCAACATTACTCCTGTACAAGCCCTTCTGAAAAGCATGCTTTTTACATGATTAGGTTACATTATACAGTTTTATGAGTCCTATTGACAAGAACAAAATTTTCCATATTATGGATTTCAACTCTCTGGAATATAAAATACTCTGAAAATACATCTAAAACCTTACTGGAACCAAGTTAATGTACCATAAGGGCAGAGGGGCTTTTAAAGTCAGTTTTAAGTACACTATTCCTTTCATACAGATGCTTTAATCACCACCAGATGCACATGGTAAAGCTTATACTGAAGAAACTTTAAGCAGATATTCCAAAAACTACTCATTCCAGCAAGTATTAAATCTTCAGGATAAGAGTCAAATCTTAGCAGCAGGAAAAAAACCCAACAAAACAAAACACCAAATGATACTCTGAGGTTCCACCAAATTACGTCAAAGTCCAAGATGGGAGGGACAGTACAGCCAGCTTCCTGTCAAGCACATCTCTCCCTTAACTTCTAAACCAGGACACTTCTAATCCTCCTCTAATTCTACTGTGTTAGAGAAACCTCAGGACTGTTATGAAGGAGATTCAATGACTCTGAGGCCATTCTGATACAAAAGAATCACTCAATTGTAGGGCACCACACATACTTTACATACGTTCTTTCCTACTCTTTCTCAAAAGTATTCAGGTGGCGGGGGGAAGGAAAAGGTCTCTCTAGTATAATCAGCATCCGACAAAATAAAACAGATGCAAGCATGGTTCTGCAGGATCAAGTACAAAGCATTTGAAATGAATGCTACAGTAGCAAATACAGAGGAAATTTGCTGAAACACAGGTTCAACAGAAGATAAATGGAAACTGCTGTTCTTCACACGTCATAATGAAATAATGAGCTGCAACGAAGTGGCAGATTCAAAATCGATTAAACAAAAAGAGCAAAGAATTAATATGCCTGGAGCTCTTAGATGAGTTCTAACCCTAGAAGACCTCAGAAGGCAAAGATGTCAATGGGACAAGTATCTCACATTTGCTTACTGTGAGGATTTCTTCCAGTTTCAGAAAGATGAAGAAGCCTTACACATGCAGTGCCTATCTTCCCAAAAAAGCAGAACCAAAATTCTCCGTGTTAGTCCTAATCTTCCTCAAGTGTCTTTGAATAAGATACTGAGGGATCCCTTCCAAATCACTCTGTCTCACTGTGACTTTAGGTCAATATATTGAGGAAAGGTCCATGAAGCCCTGGGCAAGGCCATAGATCCGATCCAGAATTCATTAAACATCATTGTTCATTAAACAACTGAAAGTTGAATCTCTTTATGATGTCAAGCTAGAATAACTCACGATTTTGAAAGATGAAAGGTGATCAATAAATTTCTGAATATTCTACTTGGAGGAAAAAATTCAACCTCTTCACAACTTCAAAGAAAACAAGCTGTGACAATAAAAATGTTTAAAGAACCGCTAGTGAACACATCTTGTCATAGGAGAAGTGTAACTTCAATTTAGGTT